TATAGGTTGTTCAGTATTTGATTTTGAACTTGAGATCTTTAAGATATCAAACCATTTCTAATCATAATAAAATATCAATTTGCTAGCACCCGGATTTTAAGAAAAGAGTATTTTTTTTAACTGTCTTTATTTCGTTATCTGTTGAACTACAACCGAAATAAAACAGAAAAAATCAAAACCACTACAAACAACTACAAACGATTTCCTGCACAGGTATACTAGTCAAATTGATTGTAGGTGAAAGTGGGGTGGGGGCGATTTTTTCAACCAATCGTATTTCGTTATCTGTTAAGCTACAGAAAAAATCAAAACCACTACAAACAACTACAAACGATTTCCTACAAGGTACACTAGTCAAATTGATTGTAGGTGAAAGTGGGGTGGGGCCATATTTTCATCCCATCTTATTTCGTTATCTGTTAAGCTACAGTAAAAATCAAAACCACTACAAACAACTACAAACGATTTCCTACAAGGTATAACTAGTCAAATTGATTGTTGGTGAAAGTGGGGTGGAGCGATTTTTTCAACCTATCGTATTTTGTTATCTGTTGAACTACAAACAAATTTAAATCCACTACAAACAACTACAAACAAAGTCCTACAATGTGCACTGGTTAAAGTATTTATTTGTAAAAGTGGGGGGCTAACTTCACAGAGCTAGAATTCTACTTAGTAAGGGTTATAATCCCTAAGCGCGGCCGAAGGCAGAAGCAAATGCAACAGGTGGTGGACCTAACGAAGTGAATGTTTTCAATGGCTTGGAATAAGGTGTTATTGCATTAACTGGATTGAGAACCAGTTCTTCAGGCATAGGAGTAGTTCTGGCTTGTGGTTCAACAATTCAACCAGGAGCTGATAGCTGGCAATGCTGCACATGTTTCCGTAAGGGTTGCAGCATGTGGATTTTTCGTTTTTCGTAGCGTAGCGAACGGAGTTTTTGTGTTGTAAAACACGAACTATACGCTTTCGTTTTCAATAAAAATTAAGTTTATGCCAACTACATAGAAATATAAAAAAAAAAAAAATTGTGACTGGTGGGACATCTCCCTGTGACTGGTGTCAAGTAATTATGCATAGATAACTAGCAGACTTGGCGAACTTAGTCCCGCCCAATATTAATTTTTTTATTGGAACATTTGGTCCAACGTTTTCGCCAGCAATTTACGTTCACGTTTCTGTTTAGTCTTCGTAAAGCAAGGACCGCAATGGTTCTGATGGTTGATTTAACGGGGGTAATTTGACTTGAATCCCTGATGCTTCCGAATTGACGATTTTTGGCAATAACTCGACTCCAGCGCCACCTGGGGTTTTAAGTTGTGAATTTAGTCTGTACAGGGACCTACTCAAATACATAAAAAGATTCATTTAAATCGTTTCAGTCGCTGCGGAGGAGTTCAACCACCAGAATAAGTAATTTACATAACGACACTCTTCGGATTTTTTTCCCATACATAAAAACTATCATGCATTCGCTATACGGAGAAGATGCGCAGCATCATCAGCGAAAAAGTTCTCAAAAATCAAGGGTAACTTATAGCCTTTTAAAACTACCACTTTATGAAACTGAAATTGAGCGAACTACAAAACTGCATACTCAAACTTAGGTGCCATTTTATGAAAAATATATATTTACTATATTTCTATAAAAAATTAAAAAAGAAAAATTTTTATTTTGAAAAAGAAAAAACACTGTATTCTGGGTGTATATATTTAAAGATAGGTAAAGGTTTCAATATGTTTGGAAAGCGCCACGTCCCCATTTCCAGTAGCCCAAAAATCTCTATACCAATTTCCAGAACAATACCACAAATACTTCCAGAGAAATACGGTATGAAAAATTCGATATGTATGGCTGATCCTTTAATATATCGAAAGTCTGCAGTAGGTGACCAAAATTTCAAAAAGATCGCTACAGCCGTTCGCGAGATAACCTCTTATTAAAAAGAAGGAGCTTCTCTTTACATAATAAGTGTAGGTACCACAGGGCAACACCGATTTTGATGCGGCAAATGCTAAAGCTGACTTTGGTAGACTTTTTTGTGCTGATTACGAATCCATAAGTATAAAGTTTCCATCAGCTCCACATTTTGAGAAAAACGTGGTGAAAGTGCAAGCAAGGAAACAAAAGGTGATGGAACCTTGCACTTAGGCTTAAATTAAAGCTAGAACTACAGGCTACTATCCCTGAAAATACTATTCCTTCACCTTGCCCTGATGGCCACCTATACTCAATTACTTTTTATCGTCCAATAATAAAAAAAAACTACTGAAAAATTATGCAACTGGCAAAAAAATCTGCAAAAATCAGTGTTAGTTGTTCAATAAATAACTATAGGTGACCTTAGGGTCTAGGTACAGGAATGGTA